CTGGATTCCGGCCTGCGGTTCATGAACAAAAGAGGGCGGAGGGACTACATACCAGAGTTTGGTGTCCGGCTCTGGTAGCACGGGGCCCTGGGGCATTCACTTGTTTAAATTAACCATGAAACTTAGAATGCGCACTGAAAACCACCCATTCCAAGTTTATCTCATATTGCGAAGTACCGATTTTTACGCATTCTAAGTTTCGGGCCGGTGCTATAGACACCTTGTGTGTATGTAACTACAGTAGCTGGTCAATACCGAACATGTGCTCATGACTACACATGGTGTATTCCAACCACAAACATCATTACGCGCGTCGGATCACTTTCCCCGGACCTCAATGAATGTATTGTTTTGTTTTGTTTTCTGTCGTATTCGTTCTCCAGAATCCACCAGCATGTATACACAGACGGAATCTGGATGCGAACAGGTCGTGAAACCATCTAATCAGCGAATGTGGTATGTCATTTTTTTGCGTTCAGCCAGGTGTTTGTCTCTGAGCATTTTTCAGATGGTTTTTCCAATGTTTCGGCCTGTGGCTCAACCAGCGGTAATGACCCTCACCTTGGCCATCACACGCCGGGTTGAAGCAGGACCGTTCAGGGAATGGGTTCACTTAGTTTTCCTACTATTATTACTAGTAGTTTGATTTCGTCAGCAATGTTGCGCAACTGCTACCTTCGGGCGCAGTAAGACTGACTGCTACCTCCGGGCGCAGTAAGACTGCTACCTTCGGGCGCAGTAAGACTGCTACCTTCGGGCGCAGTAAAGGAGGTCGTGCCACCTTTGGGCGCACGCCTTTAAAGATGCTACTACCCATGGCTGGGCGTACATCTTGCGCAGACATCCTTACCCTTAGGGAGTAGGATGCTGCTTTGAATCACACTTGCAAAGGTGCAGCGTTTGCAACCTGCAACGGCACCATATACTACATTATAGTAGTTTACCTGACTAGTACTTACTCGTTTCCAATCCTATACTGTAACGGTAGTTTCGTCGCCCCCTGGTTTGCAGGACCTACGATGCCAGAAGCTCGTGGTGAAGGGCTCGATGAAAGCAGCCCCGACTCTGTTTCTGAGGATGTTTCCGAGGAGGAAGCCGCCCCGCCAGAAGCCCCAGAACCAGAAGCCCCAGAATCAGAAGCCCCAGAACCGGAAAGAGAAGTGGTGAGCAAGAATGACAAAGATGGAAAAGACAAAAAGAAGACCACCAAGACCAAGAAAGAACATAAAGAGAAGAAAGGGCCACGGAAAGATGATCGCGGACGACACCGGCATCGCCGTGGTTCGAGATCACGGTCGGCTCGCGGGCGAAGCCCAGCACGTCCTGCGAGCCCTGGACCAGGCCGCACGAGCCCTGAACCAGGCCGCGAGCGTACGAGTCCTGGAACAGGCCGGGAGCGTGAGAGCCCTGGAACAGGCCGCAGGCATGAGAAGGCCAAATCTGAAGGCTTGCATTGCCCAATTTGCTGGCAGTGGGTGCGAAGTCCTCACCAACTGGCTCAGCACCAGCGTGATTCTGCGCGGTGCCTCCATGCTCAAGGGCGAGGCCCGGGCACAGTGAAGTGCCAGGTTTGTTACAAGAAGATCAGCGCCCAACAATGGGCAGTCCAGCAGCACGCCTGGTCATGCAAGGGTACTGGCGGAAAGCCCTGGCGTGTCCTGGGGCGTTATCAAAAGCTTCCTGAAGAACGAGCCAATGCCAGCGCAGCATCATCCCACCATGGCCACGAGAACGAAGGACTGCAGCTGAAGGCAGCGGATGCGGTGAGGGCTTCTCGTTCAATGCCACCTCCTGAGCCGCGTGGTAAGCCCCGCGGCCACGACCCAAAGCAGAGAGAGAAGACACCTCACCAGAAGAGGAAAAATGAAGAAGAGGAGGAGGAAGAGGATGATGACACCTCACCTGACCCTGACCCTCCCAGAGGTCCCAAGAAGGATGACCGTGGTGACGGTCCTGGTGATGGGCCTGGGGGCGGTCTTGGCATTGGAGGCTCATCTCGGACTGATTTTGGCCGTGCTTTGATGCACATTGGCCGAATCATGTCGCGTACGTGAGCCAGATCAAGGATGAACCAACTCAGCCGGGAAAGTGAGTGGCAGGCCTCACAGACGTTTGTGTGAGCCTTTACTTGTGCAAGTGAGGTCCTCCACAATCATTGAAAACATAGACAGCGTAAGTTTTTTTGAACAGACCTCACTGCGCGAGTTGGCATCATGACTTGTGATCGAGCCGGGTGTGGTGCGCAAAAAAGGATGACCCTTTCAAGACAGAGAGTGCGTACCAAAGAGTAAACCCAGGGCAATGCTACAGAGATGACATATAGATTTTATGGGATATGATGGGATATGGGATAATATGGGGTTTGAGATAAGTCACGAGTCAGACCAGGCCTCCTCCAACAGGTTTTTTGAGAAACAGTGTTTGTCAAAGACCCACGCTGTGTTTTACAGTTTTGTGGTTGTGATGCCAGGATCACAACTTGTAACAGGTTGAAAGCTACAGCCGAGACATTTTTGGCTCCAGCAAAGGCCAGAGAGATCAAGTACTACCAATGATCATCAGTCCCGCTTCAACCAGAAAGAATGATTTGAACGAAACACCTGCAGAGATATTTCTTTAGCAGTTTTTAAAGCCATTTGCTTCTAATAGCTGAAGCCATGGCCGATGCTGTTTCATGGCCCTCTGAGCCGGAAAGCCCGGTTTCACTTCCTGCCTCGATCAACTCAGGCAGCGATGATGACATCGTGGTGGCTTTGCCTGGCGTTTGTTGCAAGATGGGTTGTGTGGAAGCCATGCGAGAAAACCCGCAGTTGTCTACAAGGATAGCTGAAGTGCAATCTGCTTTGAATGGTTTGGAATCCCGGGATGCCATTCAGAAGGCCCAGTATGATTGCTTACGCATGTGGCAGTCCAGTTCTTCTGGCTGGCGGCGGTTCACTGTGTGGGGGATTCCTTGTTGCCGCGATGCTGTGTGTGAAGTCTTGAAGATGCCCGTGGCCATGTTTAAAAAGCTCACCAAGCATTTGGCACAAGGGTTCGTGGACGCTCCCCAGGATCTACGCAAGAGTCAGAAGCAGCCTCTGGAGCGTTCTGATGCTGTCGCTGCAGCTCAAGTACTCCTCCAGTGGGTCCATGAGAATGTTGCCGAGCATTTGCCTGAATCCGATGATTTTGTTTCTAGCAAGAAGTCTTTGGCAGATGGCCCCACCAGTGTCAGTGGCTTGTTGGCTGCTCAAAAGGGCAGGCCTGTCAAGTGGTTGGGCCCCAACACAACCTTGACAGACATGCTTGATTTTTCAAGCAGTTTCAACCCGCACCTTGAGAAACCATCCTTGTCAACTTTTTGTCGGTGTTACCACAGAGAGTGGCAAGCGGTTCTCAAGGTCCGTTCGGAGGGTCAGCA